GTTAATTGATTAATTTAATTATATTCGACCTGTATTGATCAAATCACTGTTATTTAATATTTAACATAATGAAGTATTAAAGTTAAGGATTATTATAAATATTGTAAATAGCGCCATCTAGTACTTATAGACCGAACTAAGTTGTTTGTCATAAGATAATCGTTACGCCTGCTTCTCTCCCTACTACACTGAATTCGGTCTATAAATACGGAGGTCGGTAATTGAATAACTCTCTTTCTGTGTGTAACCGTTGCACCGAATACATCTCTGGAATTTGATAAAAGTGTTTATTATTTAATTATCGTAACGATGAGTTGTCTGGTATCAATCCCCGCTCTAACATCAGAAGAGAGGGATGATCATCACGCCCAAGAAACTAATAACAATCTAATAAACCATCGTGTCATTCACTGACATTGAGAATAACAAATCATTTATTTAAATAAACCTACATTGAAGCACTATCTACCGCCCATTCGGAAATTTGTCTTATGAAAAATGAGCAGAAAACTTGCGTGTTACTCTTTTGAATAATTTAGTTGTAATTTTACATTTTTAAGCTGGACGATAAGAATACAAACTACCACCAGTCCCAATTCAATAGACTCACAATAAGAAATACACAACTGGTTGAGTAACTAAATAAAAGTAAATCAGTCGTAGTGGTTAGAGCAGACTAATGTCTAAGATAAGAACATCTTCTTTAAAGTATTGACCGCGTCACTGCCAAAATAATTAGCAACAACGAATTTAATATTCTACAAAAACAAATAGAACTATATAAACGGAAACTTAATGAAGTATATTTATCGGATTTCAATCCTGATAATCGTAGGCTTACAATAGTAAAATGGTGCCAGCAAGTAGATTCATTGATTGAATTGTGAGGTCGTTCTACAACCGAGTATAACTACTATGATGATAATAATTTAATTACTTTAGAAAAAAAAAAAGGGGTATGAATAATTAAATTTTATAAAATACAGCTTTCAATTTTGAATTACTAAATAAAATATAAAATTAATTATACAAAGTCCAAAATAACGGGCTACTCCCTTTTATAGCTATAATAACAATAAAAGGTTCTTCATTCTTCTACCATTGAAAAAATAAAATACAACCAAAAAAATATTTCAGTCAGAATAACCGAACAAGCTTCAAAAAAAAAAACTGATTTGACATTAGATATGGCAATGGTACCCCCTACAAACTTAACGATTTCGTTTTCCGTAAGGATACCCAACGATTACAAAAAAAAAATAATAATAAAAGACAAATATAAAGAAATTTAAACAATATTAGAAACCTGTTCACAACTCGTCTGGTCGGCTCGCGTGCTGCTCGTATAATGCCTTTTTTTAATCAGTCTGTGACGAAAGTGGCGGCGCCACTGTCAGTATAAACTTTACGCTCTGCTTAATAAATTACATTAACGTAATAAAATATTACAAAAATGTTTTTATGTTAAAAAATAAGTAACTAATATTATGTGCCAGTATTAGTGATAGTTTCTACAGTTTGTGATAAATACGTTTTGTAAAAAATCCAAGGACTGATACTGTTTTGTGTTAAAATCGTATGTGTAATCAAGTTAAATTGAAATCACAACCGTACAATAGTTAAAACAAACAAAATAAATACTAGGCCATTATAATACATAATCTTCACTAACAGGCAAGACATTACGAACATTTAATTACAATAATCTCTTTAATGTGGGTGTGTGGATAATTGTTATCAATTCAAATATCCACTATTGTAAGGTACTGACATAAACCGTTATAGCACTTGAAATGAATTCGTAAATTAGAACAAAATATTGCAGTAGATCTGGTTCAATGGCAACGAGTCTGAATTTAAATATAAATTCGCAGGATCTAATCCTAACAACTTATCTCACTTTTTGTGAAGCCAAAACAATTTATCTACAATATTGTGTGCATTGTTATTATTCTGTATAGTATTTGGGCTGCTTATTACAATATTATTAACATATTACGAAGCTAGATTCAGTGTAGTCTTACCTTTAAAGTTTAAAGAGCAAAACTGTAGACTAACTAAATTGACAACATTTTAAATAATTACCAAATGAAATTGCTCCACATGACTACAGTCCCAGCCTACAAGAAAGATATGAAGGGAAAATTAAAATATATACCGTCTTATGAAAAAAAAAAAAAAAAATAAACCTGGTTTAGCACTAGTAATAAACCATTGACCAAAGTATTATTATTAATACATAAAGAAGTTTATCTCTAAACTGTGATTCGCCTATGGTCTAAAGTTAGACCTGCGATGCCCCTAGTTTAACTGTAGTACTGAGAAGTTCTCTGTTAGATCTGGATTCGTAATAATGTTACGTTTATTCCAAGTATTAACTTCAGGGATGGTTTAAACCAGGATTATTTAGACACGTTTCGTCAGAATTTTAACAGATTTTTTGTAATAAGACCGATAATGTCATTGAGAGGAATACTACTCTTAAAGCATAATTAGCGGAAATGTCTGGTTATTGTGAAAGAATTTGTTTAGAAAGGGATCGCTTACAAGAAATCTTCCACGCATATGACCAATGCTCATATGAGGCTACATTGGAACGAATATCTTTCCTAGAAAATAAATTGAGTGAAGCTCAAGCTCAAATTTCTTTTCTCATATCGTAGAAACAAGTTCTTTTTCAGAAAAATACATGCCATTTATATAGTAAACTGATTACTTGCAACAACATCGCGGGATCTGAAAAAGCTAAGGCGATAGATTTAACCGCCACATCTACCTGTTAATTCGATCAAGCGAAATTTTATGGGTAGTAATCAAACAAATAAATATGTCAAGTTAAACAAATAAATAAAAAAAAAAAAAAAAAAAAAAAAAAAACGCAAATTTATTCAAGACACATGAAGTAAAATTAAAATCTATATCGCTCAAAATGAAATAAAAGAGTATTTATTAGCTATACAACATTTAGTTGGGTTAAGCCCTAAATAACTTATATCGTATAATCATTACACATCTGCAAGTTGTAACAGTGTTAATGGGACTAGAGAGTCACAGTCTATGACATTTCCCTCTGTACAGGATACTTTAGCTGAGACTCAACCAATAGAAAATGTAATTGACAACTGTCAACTAACTAGTTCTTTTAAAACGTATATCATCTCAGATAGTTTGCGTATACATATGGGTAAAATATTACCAAAACCCAGAAAGTATTTAAAGTAAATGAAATGAAAGTACTGCTTCCCGGGTTTTTTATCTTTGGCACATAACTAACAAAATAATAAATGAAAAGAATTTTGACAGTAATAGTACTATTATACTTTGTTTTGGCAATTCGTGGAATGTAAATAAACAGGATTATAGATTGTATACACGCACTCGCAAATATTATTGAGCAGGGTGTAGGTAGACTAATAATATCATCTTTGCTAATATTAATGCATTGCATCAGTAAAATGATAAAATATTGAAACTTAATTTGTGATGGCACAATTTGTCAGTGCATAGTGAAAAACTGTTATTTTTTTTTTATACAAATAAAATAGTTAATAATTGTTATGACAGGAGGTACAATACGCCTTTATTGTAAACAAAAGTTGGCCTATACTAAATTACTAGTATATAATTTATTTAATGATAAATTAAATGTAGTTTAACGAAGTACTGTAATAAAACGGCAATAAACATAGATTGTACTAAATAGTATACCAATAAATGAATGTATTGTATAAACTGTTTATTTTGGATAGATATAACTTTCTTCTAAAGATTGTATAGATAGAAATTATTTAATTTCTATTGACTAGAGTAGTACCTGTAAGGGCCTACTTATAAAAATAAATATTTCAATTTGTGTCACCGTTCATAGGCCGCCATCTTATGACAATACTTATCAACTACCCTCGAAGAAACAAAAGTGACAACATCAAAAACAATAAGAGTAGTGACTAGTGGCACATGAACACATGAAGTCGATCCTGAGTTCAAAACTTCACAGATCCATGATAACCGTGATAGCTGTACTGAAGAAAATTAGCGATGAATAATGAAGCCACTTGTCTGTACGGGTGTAAACACTTAGTCTGACAACTGGGCACAACTTTTTGCTATTATTATTACAAAAATATGAAAGCCACTTGTCTGTACGGGAGTTAAAACTCAGTCTGACAACTGGGCTCAACTTTTTGCAATTATTATTACAAAGATATGAAAGCCACTTATCTGTACGGGTGTAAACACTCAGTCTGACAACTGGGCTTAATTTTTTGCTATTATCATTACAATTATAAGCAAGCCACTTGTCTGGACGAGTGTAAACAACTGTCTGACAACTGGGCCAACATTTCTATTAAGTTTTTCTTTAATAATAGAATTATAACATTATTTCTGTTACAGATTAGGATATTCGCATGCTCAGAGCACGAGCAGCTCATCAGGATAGCCGTGATAGCGCAAACTCAATACAATGACTATTTTCATTGTTAATTGATTAATTTAATTATATTCGACCTGTATTGATCAAATCACTGTTATTTAATATTTAACATAATGAAGTATTAAAGTTAAGGATTATTATAAATATTGTAAATAGCGCCATCTAGTACTTATAGACCGAACTAAGTTGTTTGTCATAAGATAATCGTTACGCCTGCTTCTCTCCCTACTACACTGAATTCGGTCTATAAATACGGAGGTCGGTAATTGAATAACTCTCTTTCTGTGTGTAACCGTTGCACCGAATACATCTCTGGAATTTGATAAAAGTGTTTATTATTTAATTATCGTAACGATGAGTTGTCTGGTATCAATCCCCGCTCTAACATGTATGTACCGTATTTATATTTATATGCTTGTAGTAAAAAACTGTTATTTCAATATTACAAACAGACGCTCCAATTTTATTTATATGTATGTATGTGTTTTTAACTTTTTATATAACATGTCGTAAGAACTAAACATCCCTTGATTGTAATATAATTATGATCTTATTCACAGTTGGTGATGCTGTGGGGCGTGCTGTTGGTGGCGGCGGTAGCTGAGGAGACTCCCCCGGGGCTGGTCAGCAAGGACAGCGAGCAGGACTTGATCGCTGAAGCCAGCAGCTTAGGTATGTTACAATTGTTCATATGCATGATTGTTTGTATAGGGGGCGAGTGCAGATGGCACTCCAAACCAAAGGAAGGACTTATGGAGCGGCTGAAGGATAACTCCCGCCTGACGGATACGACGCAAGTCTGAGGACACCGCTAGGGATTCGAACCTCGGCTTAGGCCGTAGTAATTTCGGTCCCTGTTAGAATTGGACGGGTGATCGATCGGAGGGGTAGAATTTTTCAACTACTGGTCTAAGTATTTATAGACCGAAGTCATTGTAGTAGGGAGAGAGAGGAGCGGATGTAACCACAATTAAATTATTATAACTATATACATTTACATTACAATAATTCGTTAAACTTCACAATTAATTATCAGTAATTTTTACAATATCAATACATTTAAGAATAATTTAAATAACATGTCATACTATATATTAAAACAAATTGAAATAAAAGAAAATCTACTTTTCTAATACTTTCAAAAGTATATTTCTGAACGCACCCAACACATCAATCAAGTGTCATTATAGTGTCATTATTTGACTGACATGTTTTAAATCTAAATCATTAGTTTTCGGTTTTTGAAGTCTAAATTTTCCTTATTTTCTCACCGTTTAAATCTTCCCTGAACTTCCACGAATGTTTAAAGACTAAAATAATAATAATAATAATAATAATTATCTCAAGATAATTCACACAGCGCCATCTAGTCCCAAGTTAAGCTAGCTAAAGCTTGTGTTATGGGTACTAGATAACTGATACAACTACATAGATAATTTTTTTTCGTAAATACATACATATTATACATAGAAAATACCCAGAACGATACAAACAATCATACTCATGAATACAAATGTTTGTGCCGTGCGAGGAATCGAACCCGCGACCATCGGACGTAAAGCGGTGTACTAGACCGCTAGACCACGAGGCCGTCAAAAATGAACCAAATCGGTTCAGCTGTTCTCGAGTTTTAGCGAGACTGACGAACAGCAATTCAATTACATATATAGATATATAAGTATATGTATTTGTTAATAAATAGTTAATATAATAATATCTCAGGACAATTCACACAACGCCACATAATCCCAAGCTAAGCAGAGCTTGTGTTATGGGTACTAGACAATTGATATAAATACATGGATAATACATGTATTTTTTTTATATATAAATATATATTGTACATAGAAAACACCCAGACCGATACAAACAATCATACTCATGAATACAAATGTTTGTACCGTGCGAGGATTCGAACCCACGCCCATCGGATAGGAAAGCGGTGTGCTAAACCACTAGACCACCGAGATGGTCAAGTTAACAATGTTTTTATTTCTATAACTTACGATATTGATTTGAAAACTCTATTTCCAGGAGGGCAAGCGCAAAAGAGAGAGGCGGGGTTATCCAATTCATATGGTGAACCACTGCCGGCTGACGCATATGGCCCGCCTCAGGATATAAGCAACATTAGTAAGTATTCTACACATATTAGTAATATTAAAAATCCAAAATCATGTTTTTATGTATGACGTTTAGCACGCAGTTTTACTTTCGATGGTCGCGAATTCGATTCCTCGCACGATGCAAGCATTAGTAATCATAAGTATGATTGTTTGTATCGGATGATTTAAAAATTCTTTTGGTGTTCGATAGTCCATTTATCGAGAAAGACTATATATACAGTACGACCAGTACCAGCGGAGCAGCAATGAAAAATGTTGCATAAGCAGGGATAGTGAGAGGTAAAGGAATCTTGTAAAAGAATCCTATGAACCCCCTTGTCGCCCCTCTCGCGAGAGGACGATATTTTGAAAACGTTTTCACGATATAAAAAATAAATTGATTTTTCATAATTTTTATCTTTCCAGTTCCAGATATTCAACTCCCAGCCCCAATCTACGGAGTACCACTGCAGGAACCGCCTCCAGGTGCATACGGCCCTCCATCACCTGTAGTCTTCCCGAGCCAGACCTACGAGGGTCCCCCGCCACCGATCTCCAAACCAAGACCTATTTATGGACCACCAAAAGTCTACGGACCTCCAAAACCAAGCTATGGACCACCAAAGCAAACTTATGGCCCCCCTAAGCCTATTTACGGCCCACCAAAGAAAACATATGGCCCTCCAAAACTGAGCTTACCAAAGCCAACTTACGGAGTTCCATTCAAACCACCGAAACTCAGCCACCCAAAACCAATTTACGGGGTTCCTAAACCAGTTTATGGACCGCCTAAACCTGTTTATGGACCCCCAAAACAAACATATGGTCCACCATTATTAAATATACCAAACTTGCCAATCCCCGAGCTGCCTCCAATAACTTCAGGCATTGGTAGTGTCAGTTCGAACTTGGATCTTGGATTGAATCTACCAGCTCCTATTTATGGAACACCACTAACATCTCTATCTCTACCGGGCGATTTGAAGCCAAACTTCCCAATTCCAGCAGATACTTACGGCCCTCCAGGACACACGCTAGGTCCAATAGGCCCCAATGATCAAGTTGTGGTCCACGATAGCAGTATTGGCCATTATGGTCCACCACAACCTGACCCAAATCCTAGACCACCACATCCAGGTATCCCAGCACCGCCTACACCACCCCATGTGCTGTATGACGGCTGGAAACCAATTCCTGGAGTATCGAAACCGATACTTGATGTAGAACAACACATTGGTGATATAAATATTGACGCTCATCTAGGTGACCAATATGGTCCACCTCCTCCACCAGTGCAAGATCTCCACTTGAATTTGGACCAAGGTTTGCCAAATTTCGACCAACCACCAGCCTTTGGAGGTGCTGCGCAAATTACAACAGGCTACTCAAGTGTCCACCAAGATGCATTAGCTAACATAGATTTGAATGCTATCGTTGGAGGTGACTCTAATCATATTGACCAATCCAAGACTGTTTTCGAAGCCCATTACACAGAGAACAATACGCCACAAGATATAACTTTCATACAGAATTCTGTTCCAACTGGACTTGACAAACCAATTGATACCTATTCAGCTCCGCCATTAGATTCATTATCTAACGGTCCATACCCAGCCTCGATCAGACAACACGGAGCTAAAGGACTTGTCCCACCTTCAGGGATATATGGCGTACCTCCTGGAAGTCAATACGGAGCTCCCCCGAGACCACCGCCTGCAAACTTACCAATTCCATACGGATCTTATTCAGGAGGCGGACACTCCATCCATACAGGAGGCAGCACGCCAAGACATCCCATCAAATTCAGAGAATCAGTCCCAGAAGGATTAATTCAACAAATCGGACAAATCACTCACCATAAAGACAGTCATGGACTAGATCATTTCAAACAGGGACCAACATATATACCGCCTCCAATTAGAGATATTAAGGACACCCACCAGCATACAGGAAACCATGGAATTTCAAGTCTATCCCTATCTATTGAACCATCCAATTTGTACAGTTTACCACATGCAGGAAGTCCAATAAATTTCCAAAATCTACAACAGACACCGAGTAATTTGTATGGATCACCAATAGATTCTTATACAGCACCTTTATTGACAGTAGCTGATCATAGCGCATCTGATTCGAACACAAACTCAGTAACTGCAACTCTGGATGGCACAATACTTGCGAATTTATCTAACCTCGATGCCGCAGCCATTTTGAAACACTGCCCTTACCATGAAGCGATTATTAAAGCAGCCAAATTAGGAGACAAAATTCCTTCAGAACTTGCATCGAGTTACGTAGCTAGTTTAAGTTCTTTGGGATCGACACTTTCTAAAAGCCAGCAAACTCTAATATCACAGCAAAATGATTTTAACACTCCTGTTGCAGGAAGCGATTCAGTGTCTTATAACACGAATGATTTAGCTACAGCTTCACATACACTAGTCCAAACTATAGTCCCTAGCAATGAATTTAAAAAAGAGAAAAATGAAAAATATCATTACCAGAAGGCAAAATCATTAGGTAAACACGGCTACAAAGACAACAGATTACAATACGTTTCAGATCAAATACAACAGACCTCAGAAAAGATCAGACACTTGAGTGAAGAGGCGAAGCAATTACAGCAAAAGATTGTAACAACTAATAAGAATATAAACCACGGTAATGGTCACTTCAATCAATTCAACCACGAAATCCCAGTGAAGGGGAAACAGGGTAGTTACTCTTTACAAATTCAATCGGCTGATGATGGATTAAGAGGTAAAGGAGGTCCCCCTACGATACCTCATGAGCAGTTGCTTTCAGAAGGACTTCTGCAGAGTATACTACAAGCCATAGAGCAACCATCTGGACAAGCAACGCAAACGAGCATCAAGGTCCAACCTGCCCCTCAAGGTAACTTCAGACCAAATTCGTTTAACTTCGCTAACATAGACAATAGAGGTTTAACTCTACCTGCTGGATACGAACCTGTCGATAGAACGAAAGAGAAAACCAACACTGTTGACCAAGAAATACAAAGCACGAATAAAGATATCAAAAGTATTTTGAACAATGAGATAATACATAAGCACAGAGGTGATATATCTGACTGTGAGTTAAGGGCTGAATCTTCTATTCAGCATTCCGTTATAGTACCACCTCCGAAATTAGAGATAATCAAGCCAGTCGATGAAGTCAATGACAACGACGTTGCTATATTCTTTGGTAATGATTCTAACGACGCCATTTTAAATAATGAGCCGGTAACGGAAATATCTGTAGCGACTAGTATAAGTGAAAATGTCGACGATCTAAATGATAAGAAATCAGAATTCGGCGAGAAACTTGTGAAATCATGAGATTGTAGCCATTTTGGTAGATTCTAGTCTATTTTACCAGTGAGCTTTTTGGAAATTTATTATGGTATATGCAACGAAAAATTTTTAGACTCTATATTTGATTTATCGACTTTTTTTGTAATAATTTAAATCTACACACTCATAATTTTAACCCTTTTGTGGAAATTGAGAGAAATAAAGCTTTAGACGAGGAAAAAAAACAGTTCAGTTAAAATAAAATTAATAATAGTTTATCATTTTTTGGCTCTATATTACTGAGTGAATTTATAATAAGAATAATGTATTTACAAAATTATTATTTTTTTTACGTAATTACTTTGTCTCAAAGTTTTATCAAACATGAGTCTGTAATGTTATTTCAACAAATAAATAAAGATTAGGATGTAATATAAATACAATATGGCGGATAGAATGCTCACTGGCGCCATTTTGGTATAAACAGCCATGTACAAGTGAAAGATGTATGGATGATTTTCGTCGTCCTTTTAAAATAAATATACCGAATGAATTTTACAAACGAAATTGAATATGTTTGAGATGTATCATAGATAATGTGATCACTTGGATACATTTTGAAATCTTTAATTTATAGTTTTAATTTAAGTTATTTTCTGATCCTCGGATGAAAAAAGTTGTGGTACTTTTTTTTTTATTACATATAATCTTTGTACCATAAAACGCGGCAAAGTTATCAATTTATCTGTCAGTGTAGTTATAGAATAATGACACTTATTGTCATAATATATAGAACTAAATATTACTTGGCAATTTTAAATGCCCTTTTTCGCCCGAGGATCCATAAAGCTTAAGTACTATTTAATTTTTTTTATTTATATGAGTAACCATAGAGTTAAGTGTATGCAGTATTTGGGTGTATTATTATTTATTGATGATTCGAGAGGATTCGCATTAGTATGTACAATTGGTACACTGTCGTTAGTTAGTTGATGCATGTAAGTAAATAAAATGTACAGTTTAAATTTGATTGTTTTATTTATTAAAACTTTAATGAACAAACGTGCACATGGCGGACTTAACACCTTGAGACATCTTATGCGAACATACTTTTATACATAATAACTAGCTGACACCGCAAACGTTGTGTTGCCATATAAATTAAAATCGCTATTAAAAAATTGGGGTTCATGCTAGAAGGGTGAAAATGTTGGGTTGTATCATGGTATGTTTTCAATCCTAAGTAATAATAAAATGAAAATAAAATAAATAAATAATATATATTTAGAGGTGGATATCCCTTACCACTTAGGGGTATGAAAAATAGATAGTAGCCGATTCTCACACCTGAATATGCATATAAAATTTCATAAAAATCGATCAAGCCGTTTGGGAAGAGTATGGTAACTAACATTGTGACACGAGAATTTTATATATCAGATAAAACATATATATTAAATTAAATATACCTCCATATATATAGAAATACACATACAAATATAAATTTAAACAAATCAACAGTGAAAATTGGGTGCATAGATGATGTGGTGTGAGGTTTTTTTTTATACCACGTAGATGGCAAACAAGCATACGGCCCATCTGATGGTAAATGGTTACCGTAGCCTATGGACGCCTGAAACACCAGGGGTCTCACGCGTTGCCGACCTTAAGAAACCTTAATATACCCTTCTTAAAAACCCCATGCTGTAGTCTCTATAGAAAACTCGACAGGTAGTTCATTCCACAATGTAAGTGTACGCGGGAGGAAGCTCCTCTGAAACCGCACTGTCCGAGACCACTTAGGTTCCAGTGTGGGGATGAATTCCCTGTCGATGGCGAGCGGTGCGAAGGTAAAGGGTGTGTGGATGTGTTTGCGTAATTTAGATTTCAAAGTGAATTCGGAAGGGTCGGATTTAATTATTTTTCTTATAAGCAGTGCCGGCTGGCATCCTGCGTACTCACAACTCTGTATATAATACAAAGAAAAAGTAACAAAAAAATCTTTAAAAATATTTTTATTTCTACTGTGTCTAAACCAACTAAACTCATTTGTAAATATTGTTTTTTTTTTAAATCCAAACCTAGGATCTGTGTAAAACCACAAATATAAAACGTATAACATAATATTACATAGTAAATCTGTGGGTCTCTTGAAACAATTTGCTACGGGTATCCGGCATTGTACATAAGTTGGACGTCTATAGTCCCTTTCGAAAAATAAAGGAAACGAAAGGCAAATGGTGACTGATTTAATGAAAATAACGTAGATAACACAAAATATTATAATAATCACACCGTAACAAAGCTGTATGATACAATTTCTTGAGCCGTCTTTATAATTATAAAATTACAAGTAAAAGGTCCATAAGTTCACAGCTCAGTGTAACCACATGAAGAATTTATTTGCCTTTTTGGCATATTTAATTACATTTCTTATGATTAGATATGTCACGATAGGCTAAGTGACCTGACCTCATGTTCATCTTATCATCCTCCACTGTTGCCCCGCCTGCGTAAACCGTAAAGCGCAGGCGGGTGCATTATGGTCCATTATGATCCATAGCAAAAAAAAATACGATTTTCAACAATGTATTTTACAAAATAAATAATACCATATTATATTCGAATAATCTGAGTATTTACCTGCTTACATAATATTACGTTACATTGTACATTATAACATTACTTGTGCAAGAAAAATACGTAAATAACAGTGAAACTTATGTTAAAATACTTTGCGTGCTTTGAAAGTAGTGAGCAGAAAAATTAATATTTGAGTTTATCTAGTTTTTTTATATGATGATCTATCTATATCAAACATTGGTATACTGTTACATCTATATTTTTATAGTCTAACATGCAATTCCGTACACTACGTAAATATTAGACACATCAAAATGGCAATTCATAAAATACAAGACCAATACAAATATTATTCAATAATAAGTATACATAGATTACTCCTTTTATTAGATTAATTTAAAATCGGACTGTTTATAAATCTTAAAAATAAATTGTTATTTAATAAAAAAAAGTAATTAAAATGGATTTGACACTTTTCAGAGTCAAATCTATGATTTTTATATGGTAACCCTACTACAGTACAGATTAATAATATTTTTGTTTTGTTTTTCTTACCGATTGCGAAACTTATATTCCTAAACAATTAACAAAATATAAAAGTAATATGTCAATTATTACAATAATTTTACAAGTAAATATATAAAAAATGAGTTTAGAATTGAGTACAAATGACACTCGACCGATATGTGAAGGTTGTTTAAGCGTGGATCGTAATTTAACACCAATTTGTGATGATGAAAGTCGAAGTGTTTACACGTATATGCTTGATCAAATGGTAAGTTTTAGAATTTTGTACTTTTTCAGCCGTAATTCATAAAGGTAATGTCGTTTCTGTTTCGAGATACTGGCCATTTCATCTATGATTAAGAAGTTTAGAACATAATTAATTTAAATTTAGAATTATCTTCTGCTCACTTATTTATAATTAATAATATTGTTTCTGTTTCGAGATACTGGCCTTTTGATCAATGATTTTAAATTTAAAATATAATTAATTTAAATTTAGATCTATCTTCTGCTCAATTTTTACTTACTAATTTATTACAGTTAATATTCTTTTTGTTTTGAGATACTGGCCATTTAAAATATGAATTTGAATTTAGAATATTATTAATTTAAATTTAGAACTATCTCTCACTTTTTTTTTGTATGACATTGTCACTGAATGTAAAGTACTTATTCTATTTTAAGTGTCAGCACACAGCAAGTAATCACTTATGCAATAAGAGTGTGCACTTTCATACAAATTTAATGAGAACTATATAAAAATATGTAGTAAAACATTATTTCTAACATATTATAGATAATTTTAAAATTATTAGACAAATTACTTTATTACAAATGACTTAACAACCTCGGTGGTCTAGTGGTCTAGCACACCACTTTGCTATCCAACGGTCACGGGTTCGATTCCTTGCACGGCACAAACATTTGTTTTCATGAGTATGTTTTGTATCGGTCTGGGTGTTTTCAATGTATAATATGTATGTATTTACAAAAAAATCTATGTATTTGTATCAGTTGTCTAGTAACCATAACACAAGCTTTAGCTAGCTTAACTTGGGTCTAGATGGCATTGTGTGAATTTTCCTGAGATTATATTATATTAAATTAGTCTCAAATCTATGAGTAAACCTAAAATAGGGCAATAAGCCACAGCAGCATGTTGGATTGAAATATACCGAGTAAATATGCATATGACATGTGTCTTTTGAATGATAATATTCTGATGTACCCGCTTGCGCTAATGTTATACACTGGCGGGGCACCAGTGGAGGATGATAAGATGAGCATGAGGTCAGGTCAGTTAGCACATTATAGTAAATTCAGCTGGAATTTATCATGATGGTTTTCACGGGGAACACATGGTCAATTTGACATGGTACATTGCTAGGAATGGGGTTATTAGTTGACATTACTAACCATCCCCCATGTAAATTTTTTTTTGGTAATGGAATGGTGCACTCGCTACCAATTTACCCTGGCGGGGTACCAGTAGAGCTTGAAGCTCTACTGGGTTACCATATAAAAATCATAGAATTGACTCTAAAAAGTGCCAAATCCGGTTAAATTACTTTTTTTTATTAAATAACAATTTCTTTTTAAGATTTACATAAACAGTTAGCCTTGGTAAATATCAATTTACCACGATTGTTTCCAGGGGAAATCATCAGGCATCAAGTTCAACCCCCTTTCCCTCATATCTACTCTTGACTACCCCATCTCTGTTATACTGTAATTATTTATACAAAAAAACATCTATTAAAAAGAGCAACACACAAGTTTCTTGCTCATTCTTCTTGTGATGAATCTGCATTCCGAATGAGTGGTAGAATCAAAATATGACTATTCAAAAGTGCTTGTAATGAGTTTATTTGAATAAAGATTATTTAAAAGTTGTGATGGTATGATCTTTTTAAGGAACACATAAACCATGGTGTGCTGTTATGCTGGGAATGTACGGCCACCATGCGAAGAATTCTTAACTTCAGGCAACAAGTACAAACTGCACGGAATCATCTCATCAGATATATGGTATGAAAGGTTATCATTTATGAACTATTTTTTTGACAATAAAGGATAAAACTTCTTGTCAACTTCAAATAGCATGTCAAATTATATTAACTTCTCTTAAGCTAGACTATTGCGTTAATAAATTTAGTTGGAATTTCTAAAAAAAACTATATTTTATCTATTTAATAATATTAAATTTACAGCTGCAAGAAATAATACTATCACCGCTCACTCAATTGTCCATAAAAAACAATAAAACCACATATGATCATGTATACACACACACAGACACGAAAGACGAATACACACAAAACACTAATAAATACATAGATCTAACAAATAACTCTCACACGACCAAAAACTCAGTGCACTATTCTGCGAAAACAAAAAACTCAGTAGGCGATACGGGATGCGACCAAAACTCAGTTGGCGATTCTGTGAAAACAAAAAACTCAGTAGGCGATGCGGGATGCGCCCAAAACTCAGTGCAGTGCTCGTGCAGTCAGTGCTCGTTGTCATTTCTGAAGATAGAGAAACAGGATGAGTTTGTGGATGTGGAAGGAATCTTTGTTGATGAAAATTTCGATGGTAACAGTGAAAATTATATGGAGGTAAGTCAACAATATTTGATTTAATTTTGATATCTTTAATGATGCAGTGGATTAAACCTGTCTTAGCTTGCAATGGTCCTGGGTTAGTTTTTTTATTGGATCATTAAAATACAATTACCTGCGCTAACGGTTTACAATAGAGGGACACCAGTAGAAGATGAACACGAGGTCAGGTCAGTTAGCACATTGTGGAGATTTTTTGTTGTTAATTGGAATTGCCAACAAGGTGTTTGCTACTGATGGTTTCTGCTTACTTATTACCATCAGTAAGCAATAATCGCCATCAACACTAGTCAGAAGATATCGTCGATATCATGTTATCATGTGCAACCGTGATACCCTTTAAGATCTGCCATTCCAGAAGACTTAAGATGTCTCGCCTCTTTTCCTGTAATTTCTCTGCCTAATCTACACCCTGTAGTAGACGGTAGATTAAGCATCTATTATGTGAGGGTAACAAATTAAAAGTTTAATGTGTTGAATGCTTGCGCTTGTACTTGTTTCAATCCCTATAAAATATTTCCTAAATTAATTAATTAAATTAATACAATCCCTACAACCGAAACAGCTTACAAAGCAGGCTGCTTGCCGGCTCAAATAGGTAAGACTGATGTACAGACGAAGATGCAAAGAGGCCCATCTGATGGTAAACGGTTACCATAGCCTATGGACGCCTGAAACACCAGGGGTGTTAAGTGCACGTTGCCGACCCTTAAGAAACCTTAATATACTCTTCTTGAAATGTAAACATATTACTTTAGGCGGGAGTTGTCTTTCAACTGCTCCGTAAGTCCTTTCTTTGGTTTGGAGTGCCAGCTGTGGGCAACAGTATTAGAGTAGTCCGAAAAATAAAAAAAAACATGTTTCATACCTTTTGCAGACAATACTAAAGTCAGACTCTTTCGCATATGAAGAAACAGAGAAGAAACCTAAAAAGTCAAGGAAAACCAGACGGAAAGCTAACAAGGACGAGTTCAATGAGTCAGACGACGAACCTTTGAAGAAGAAGGCAGAAGATAAGGAGTACAAACCGAGGGGACGAAGGAAAAAGAGAGATTTAGGTAGATATTTTATTCTATACTACATTTAAAAATAAACTCGCTGTCTCCAAGTATCATTTAGAAAAAGTCAATAGAAATAGAAATAGAAATAATCTTTATTCAAATAAACTCATTACAAGCACTTTTGAATAGTCATATTTTGATTCTACCACTCATTAGGAACGCAGACTCATCACAAGAAGAATGAGCGAGAAACTTGTGTGTTGCTCTTTTTAATAGATGTTTTTTTTTTTATATAAATAATTACAGTGTAACAAGTAAGAGGCATGCGACAATCAACATAGAAATCGCTACGCACTCATTATTAGTGTAATCAGATAATATTGTCAGTGCTATAGATTTAAAGTTTTTCTATAAAAACATTATTATCGTTAAGGAATTCTTCAATTTTATAGTAAGCTTTTTTTGCAAAGGAACTGTTTTATTTGACATTTAAATCTTTTTTATGGCAGATTTATAACAGACTCTGGTATTTTATTGTAAAACCTTACGCAATTGCCATAAAACGAATTACTAACTTTAGCCAAACGACATTTAGGTAAAATCAGTTTGTTATTGTTACGTAAGCTTTTATTAGTGCAATCACTAACTCTTTTGAAACTGTCTATATTCCTTCTGGCATAGATGATATTTTCATAAATGTATTGAGAAGCAATAGATTTATGAAAATATCATCTATGCCAGAAGAGTCAATAGGCCTTTTATGGGAATAGGTATAAAAATTTACAATAATATACCAAAGGATATACTGGAATTACCCTTAAATAAATTCAATATATCTGTTAAATCATATTTACTGATCAAAGCCTATTACTCACTAAACGATTACTTGAATGACGAGCGTGCATGGCATTAGTTGTTCATGCACGGGATTTTCATTTAATGTTAGACATAGACACCTATATAAATATACATTGTAAATAAACTGGCTTTTAAAAAATAAAGTAATTCAATTGCGTTTCTTGCCAGTTCTTCAAAATTAGTTCTATATACTGAACTAGACGCTAGGAAAAATATTATAATGTAACATTTTTGACATTTTTGAAATATATGTAATATAGCTTACTAGCTGTGCCTATGAATGAGTGGTGGAATAAAAAAAAAATAAGTACGACTAATCAAAAGAGAGTTTAAAAAAAAAAGAATTCAATTGAGTTTCTTGCCAGTTCTTCTTAATTGGATCTATATACCGAACTGGACGGTAGGGAAAAATTATAATATAAAGTTTGATGTTTCGAAGTGGCTAAAATGTCTTACATGAATAAATTATTTTTGAATTTGAATTTCCTAGATGATCCACATAACTCGTGTGTAGTACAATATTTTCAGTTTTTGCAAAATGTTTTATAGCAGTTCTGCTCCTATTTTCTCTTATGAATGATATTTTCTCTTATGGAATGGTCACCACCATTCCATAAGAGAAAGTAGAAAATTCAAAATATCTTTATTCATGTAGGTCTATTACAGACTCTTATGATATGTCAAATGCACCGTCAGTTCGGAATGATTTCGAATTGAGAAGAACTGACAAGAAACTCAGATCGTATTCTTTTCAAATGAGCTTGTACATTACAATAATATAGATTCATTTTTAATTTCACATTCAAATTTGGGGGAATAGGCATACCATATGCTGGTGGCATATGCTATAGCAAAAGCAAATAGTCTAATCAGTGTTCGTAACCTGAACAGACCAGTCCCCACAAGCAGCGCCCGTTCACGATTATGACGAATGAGCCAGCCATCGGTGCACTCAACTATATTAGAAGCACATCGACCCGGCCCACCACGCCGCCACAAGTTTGAACTTTATAGCGAGCATGACTCTTTCATGTTACTATTCGTCATTTATTATTTACAGCATAGGCTGTAACAATCACAGTTTTCCTTAGTTTTGTTATCAAAATACTGTTATAACAAATAAATAAATTAGTTTGATTTTATAAAAAATACTTTAGCAGATGGTGAAGAGACAATAGACAGACGTAAGAATCCTCGTCCGAAGCGAGAGAAGCCGGCGGGTGTTATTAGTAACGCGAGGGTCGCCTCCAAGTTGCAGCAGCTCAACGTGCCGAGTGGACAGCTGGAGATGGTGCTCCTTTCTTGGGAAGAGGTATCCATGAAGTACAAATAGAAATAATCTCTATTCAAATAAACTTAATATAAGCTCATGATAGGACTCGTGAAATAGAAATAGAAATAATCTTTATAGAAATATACATAATTTGAGGTTGTGATACCATTCGTGAAATAGAAATAGAAATAATCTTTATTCAAATAAACTTAATATAAGCACTTTTGATTAGTCATACTTATTTTTTTTTTATTCCATCACTCATTCATAGACACAGCTAGTAAACTATATTACATATATTTCAAAAATGTCAAAACTTTACATTATAATTTTTTTCCTACCACTGGATGGTAGGAAAAAAATTATAATATATTAAAATTAAAATTATAATATAAATTATCCCACCACTCATTCATAAAAATGACAAAAAATTTTCATTATAATGTTTGCCCTACCGTCCAGTTCAGTATATAGATCCAATTGAGAAGAACTCAACGCAATTGAAACTCAATTGAATTACTTTATTTTTTAAAAGCCAGTTTATTTACTTTTATATTTATATAGGTGTCTATGTTTAACATTAAATGAAAATCCCGTGCATGAACAACTATTGCCATGCACGCTCGTCATTCAAGTAATCGTTTAGTGAGTAATAGGTTTTGCTCAGTAAATATCATTTATCAGATGTTTTGAATTTATTTAAGGGTAATTCCAGTATATTCTTTGGTATTATCCACCCATGTTGTTATGGGGTTCTTTTGTGTTGAGATGGTATGTGTTAAATAATAAATAATATGTACGTTTGCAGTAGAAGAATTCTATTGTCTCCTTTTATAATATATTTACAAGTCAAATACTGATTGACATTATTGTAAATATTATAATATATTTACAATAATGTCAATCAGTATTTGACAACAACTATTATAAAATCGTAATTGGTGAGGAGGCTGTATATAGTCTGAAGACGTCCGCGCCGCGATATTCAGACAGCCCAAAAACCTCGAAATGAAACACCACATACGAGGGAAAGAGTATAATGATATCAAAAATGGTGTTACAAAATACTGAATAATAATTTTTTTTTTTCGGACTACTCTAATGCTGTTGGCCGCAGCTGGCCTTTACAGCTTCACCGGACGATATGGGGCGAGTGCAGATGGCACTCCAAACCAAGGAAGGACTTATGGAGCGGCTGAAGGCCAACTCCTGCCCGACGGATACGACTTTAGTCTGAGGGCACCACTAGGGGTTCGAACCTCGGCTCAGGCCGTCGTAATTTCGATCCCCCTTTGAATTGGACGGGGATCGATCGGAGGGGATTGAATAATAAAATTTTTAAAATTTTACAATCGTGTATATCAATCGATGAAAACGAAATAATATCGAGTTTCAGAAATCTAACAGCGCCATCTAGTATTCATTTCGGAACTAAATGACGTAAACAATATTTGCATTCTACAGATAATCATTGTGAGATATATAACTTATTTGCTACATTATTTTTATACTAACAGTACTATTTAATTATACAGATACTATATTTATAATTAATACATACTAGATATAGTGGCGCCCTCAACATACTCGTAAGAGAGAAACGAAAAAAAAGAGCAAATAAAATGTACATATAATTAAATTTAACGTGTAACACATGTATCCATCCATATTCACAAACTTCCGCGTTTATAATATTACTAATATATACCTAATGTGACCAGACGTCCCGTAATGAACGGGACAGTCCCTTTTTATAATTACGAGTCCCGGTGTCCCCGAAACGGACTCTGGGACGCAAAATTGTCCCGTTTTCGGTAACGGTGCGAAATTTTGGGTAGACGAGCCGGTTGTTAGTTGTTGGTAATTAAGGTGAGTATAAAAAAATGTGCCAAGAGTGTCATTCTTACTTAAATACTTCTTAAAAAGTCAAATTTGTTCCTCCGATAACAAAACATTTTATTTTTATCGGATAAATATAAACTATATATGAATAAACAAAATGTTTAATTATATTTATCGGATATATTTCTTAATTGATAACTTTTGTTGAATAGATAATTTGAAAAAAGAGTTTTTTTCATTGGCTGTCTGTTAATTGTGTCCCGTTTTGAGTCGAAGAATAAATGGTCACATTATATATACCAGAATAAGATTCACGCGTGTGAACCGTGGAGACAAGTAGTAATTCGTTAACGATAATAATGTTTTTGTAGAAAAATTTTAAATACATAGCACTGACAATATTATCTGATTACACTAATAATGAGTGCGTAGCGATTTCTATGTTGATTGTCGCATGCCTCTTACTTGTTACACTGTAATTATTTATATAAAAAAAACATCTATTAAAAAGAGCAACACACAAGTTTCTCGCTCATTCTTCTTGTGATGAATCTGCATTCCGAATGAGTGGTAGAATCAAAATATGACTATTCAAAAGTGCTTGTAATGAGTTTATTTGAATAAAGATTATTTCTATTTGTATTTCTATAAATATACTTGGGGCAGGTGGAGGCGGAGCGCCAGCGGGCTCTTACCTCGATAGTGTTCACGAGACACGAGTACAGGTGTTACGACTGCGTACTCGGGTTCAATCACAGGATCAAACTGGAGAATCATATGAAGAAACACGACCCCGTATGTATCCACTACTTGATTTATTAACCCTTAAAAAAGAAAATAAAAATAAATCTAAAATGGAGACCCTACAGGAGAATCATCATATCCACTAAAAACTTACCGATCGACTCTTAACGGTTAAAAACCCTGATATGTTTCTTCTTTTAACCTTTTGTCAGAGTTACGGCACTACTTTGACAGGTGTACCATTCCGTCCACCAAAAACTCTTTCTTTTCTCAGGACAAATCACACAGCGCCATCTAGACTCAAGTTAAGTTAGCTAAAATTGTGTTATAGGTACTAGATAACTGATATAAATACATAGATATATATTTGTTTTCGTAAACATATAAAACAACCAGACATACAAACAATCATAGTTATGAATACAAATGTTTGTACCGTGCGAGGAATCTATCTCTTTATTATATATTTGTGTAGAACAACATATATTTTACAACATTACAACAAAACCATCAAACATACCAAATGTTTGATGGATTTGTTGTAATAGAAATAAACACTATTCAAGTAAACTTATCCGGCTCGAAGGACCAACATGGGGGTTTTGCGCCCACATTTTTGTTATAATAATTGACTGACTGTAAATTAAGCTCGTCGTTTGTTTGTTGTTTATTGCGTGGGTGCGAGTGCAGTCAGCGGGCGAGTTAGTATGTTCAGTTTGCCGCGTGCATTGTCGAGACGCGCACGCACTCTGTGCGCACCGACGGCGACACAGACTCCGGTGAGTACACTATTATAATAATAATACTTTCTTTTATGTGTAAATGTGCTCCTCACAGGAGCCGTCCGTCTCAGGGGTTGAACGGGTACTGTGGGACTTTTACTTACAAAAATCCCCATGGCATTCCTTTTTCGCCATGGTGGGGTTTTTTTTTACGATTATAATGGAATGGTGCCCCCGCCTGCGCTAACGGTTTACGCTGGCGGGGCACCAGTGGAGGATGATAAGATGAGCATGAAGTCAGGTCAGTTAGCCCATCGTGACAAATGCACCAAGAATTTATCACGATGGTTTCCAGGGGGAACCGCGTGGAGGTGCCATGGTGGGGTTGCAGGATCGAGATCGCGAATACGACCTATAATGACAATACCTGGCTTTATACGGCACGGGAAAGACAGCGAGCGGAAGGAAAAGAATAGCAGCGATTTATTTAATTAAATGTTTCGGAATTCGAAA